CTCCTTCTCCTCTTTTTTCCTTTATTATCCTCGTTGCAACGGGGAGATGCGCCCTCCTTCCCCGCCACCCCCGGAATCTCGCCGCGATGCGATCGGACGAGGGGGTGTTCCCGTGTTTGGGTTTTTTTGGGGGCTGTGTTGGTACGTGGAAAGCGAATTTTCACGGTGTTTTTGCCGTTCTGTCATATAATAGGCTAGTGCTAAATGCATTCCCCGGGGGGAAGGGGGAGCGTGCGGTTAGCTGGAGGAGTTCTTATAATAGGTGCTCTGTGCATAAAGAGAGGGAGGAGACTTGAACATCAATTCGGAGAGCGTTTCGGCATAAAAAAAAGGCTTGAGAAGGAGATAGGAAACTCGGTAGAAAGGCTTCGGTGATGAATCTGAGCAAGAGAGTGTAGGAGGTCCGTGCCCATGCGAAACTGCCGAATTCCTGCATGGCAAGCATGCCATTACAAAGGTTGGAGCGGGGATGGGAGGGATGTGTCGGTGGAGTTGTGAGCAGGCTGAGGAGAGTTTACATCTATCGGCTTGGGAAATCGATAAATGATGGACTTGCACTTACTGCATTTATATTCCTGTTTCAGCGAGGCTGAGCTCTGTGGGAGCACAAATACAAGGGAAAGATGCCTGTGGTGTGGCCAACTCTTCTGGATCTCAGCAGAGATGAATGCAAGAGGATCCTTCGCAAACTGGGTACAGTAAGATACAATTTGTGGGTCTGTATGTTTGCCCTTTTAAGATTTGCCTGCCTGCTGCTTCCACGAAATACTTTAATATGTCTACAGGCAACTTCCAAGTCATTTCCTGCATTTTGCATGTGTCATTGGTTTGACAGCCCTGGCTTAAAATGATGTTTGGCAGATGCTCTCTGCCTGAGCAAAATGAATAGAGCAGAATTGTTTCGGTTTGGTCGAATCTCTCATGGATGTCCTAGTCCATCTCTGCCTCGATGTTGCAGTGTTGCATTGCTGTTTCTTTTTACGACTATTAACGTGCAACAGGATACTCTGTGACAGGAAGGTCTTCATCTGGTTTTCAGTTTTGTATTAGACACCTTTTTGTACCAGAAAAATTAATGGAACCCTGGTTTAACTGGTGCTGTGGGATGGAGTTCAAGTAGTAAAGGTACTATTGTAAAGATTTGAAACAGGAAAATATTATGATGGGTTATGGTTTGCAGTTGCACAAATTATCAGGGAAATGTGAAAACAATGTTCTTGCTGAACTGTCATAACAACAGGAGCATTTTGCATTGTTTCAAATGAGAACCCTGCCCAATAGACACATGTTGGGAGATTTTTTTTGTGCTCTGACCTTGTAAATATACATGTACAAGGAGACATGCTTTTGTATTTTGGAAGGTAAAAATACTTGCTCTTCCCTCACGCATCTGGTTTTGGCTACTGCAGGAGAGAGAATCTTTTGTTAGACCATTGATCTGATCTTGTGCAGTCGTTTTTGAGCTCGTAGAGCTGAATTTCTTTTTATTTAGTTAAGGTTTTTTTGCCAGTTGAATGATGCATAACACTAGAAGGGAAGAAAAAACCCCCTAGACTTCTTTTCATACTTTCTTCTGAGGAGCATAATCTAGGAGATGATGTCAGGAGAAAAGTTGAGACTCCCTATAACTTCCTGTGACCGTCAAGTTACAGCTTTTCTTGTTCTCGTTTTACTTGAATGTTCAAAGATGTGCTGTACTTCTTAACTGTGCCGAGGTTCTCATACATTATGAAGCCATCCACTTTATTTGCTGAGACTTGAGAATTTGTTTTTTCTCGCTTTGCCCTTTTTGTTTCATTCCTTGGGAATCTGGGATTTGTGTTCTGTTGAAACAGTGACAGAGATGTTGCACACAACACTGCAACTAAGCTGTGCATCCTTTAAGGTGACAGCCCTAGGCCTTAAACGAGGCTCAAGAAGTATGAAAACTAGGAGAAAGTGCAGGATGCCAAAGGATTTGGACCGGATCTGTGCTACTAAATTTTGTTAACGTAGCTCTGCTGGCTAGGAACATGGAAAAAAAAAAAACTTCCACCCCAGCTGACGGCGGTGTGCTGGCAGAACCTTGCTGGTGCAGCTAAGCCAAACAGAACTGCAGCTACACCTCCTTCAATGACATAACCTAGGCTGACAGGAAAAATTTTTTTTTTTTTTTTTTCTGGCATGAGCTGTGTCCCCACAAGGGGGCCCTGGTAGCGTAACAGAGGATCAGCGCCTGTAGCAGCCGTGTCTCTCCTCGGGTAGAGAAGCTCTCAGTTTAAATGCACACACCACAAGAGTGGAGGGTGAAGGAGCGCGGGCAGTGGGAGCAAATAGCTGTCTAACGGTCATATCCAGCAACATTCCTCTGCTTTATAGAGTCCCACTTTTCCAGCTTGACTATAGAGCGATAGCGGGTTACTCCGTCATGAATGAAATGTGCTGGTGTAGGTGAGGCTGGAATGCATCCTGAGGTGTGTGATACCTGGTGTACGTGGCTTATAACTGCATAAGGAGGTGATAGTAGCACCTTACACTTGAGATAAGGATATTTGTGAAACCTGTTTTGGCTGTTTGATGTGTTTTGTGCCGGAAAGAGAGGCACCAGTTAATGAGTTAGTGATTGCTACATAGACATAGGGGTGAGAAAGCTAGTTACAGCTGTTCTGTAATCTTTACTAGCTTCCGAAAGTCCATAATGTGCATTTTTGAAGCTCTAGTGTAGAAGATCCCTATTAAAAATGCAGAAAGGAAAAAAAAAAATCTGTCCTTGCTAAATAATTACACGGTTGTATCTGAGAATTACTTTATGTTGTTATCACAGGAAAATAATTAGTATCTTAAATATTGTCACATGGTTGTCTAAATAAATGTTGATATTAGCAATAACCATTGCATTAATTAGCAAATGTTTTATAACTAAAGCTGTAAATGCTTCTGTAGGTCATTTAGCATCCCTGTGCATAGTTAACCAAAGTGACTCTGCTTTGTGTTTTGTCTGCTTAATCAGTACTGGAGAGCAGGACTTCTTTTCAACACAATTCCTTGATTTGATTTGTAAATGAGCTCTTTGGAATCCTAAACTGAAAGCTTTTCAGAATAGCATCAGTCTTTCTTATGCAGCAAACTTCAGAGGTGTTAAGTTTTGGCCTGCCCCTTTTATTCTTGCTTTTGGTTGACTGGGATCTGTTGTGGGCTGGGTTTGGGTTGGCTGCTGAAATGGGGGTGCCAAATGAAAGGCACCTATGTAAGTATCGACAGAATTTGTATTTCTGGTTTAAAGCAGGAGTTTCAGTAACGTTTTCTTAAACTGTGCTAAACTTAGAACAGCAAGTCATTCTTTGGCAAGTTAGCGGACTCCATTATTTGCCTTGGGTGTATTTTCACCCTGCTTAGTAAAACAAAATTCAGAAGTTTCAGTAGCCTTTCACTATTTTATTTTTTAAAACACCAGTGGCATGACATTTATGTAGGTCACCTGGAATTAAAAATTTACGTTAAATCAGAGTTGTATTTTTGTGAGTTAATCTCTGTGATGGCTCAACGTTTAAGAATAGCTGGATTGTCTCTTTTGTGTTGAGCAGATTTAATTCAGTGTGTTGCATTCTTTTCAGATTCAAGCAATTGTACATATCAAGTAAATGGGCATAAAAGATTGTGATGATTCTATTTAATAAACTCGAGCCAATACTTTCCATGCTAATTAAGGAAAGGCATTACGAAAAAATCAGCTGCTCTTTTCATAGTGTAGTTCTTTTTCAAGCCAAGATTTTTCATGGAACTTTTAATAATGATATGTGTTAAAGATTTTCTTCTCCCACTTCTAGAGAATTCTGAGCTACTCTCCAAGTTCGGGGAGTGTTTCTTCAAGCTTTGTGGCTGAACTGTCAGCTAAGAGAGAGCTTGAAGTATGTGGTTGGGTTTATAAACTAGATAATCCTCTGTGATTATACAGTTGTTTCATAGAAAAGCTGTACGATGCAGAGTAATTGACTAAGAGAGTTTTAAATCATCAATCTCTTTTGAAAAGCACTAAATAATTGAAAGACATGTTCCTCTTAACGATTTTGAAAATTAATAGAATACTGTCAGTAATACTGAAAATAACTTTTTTTCTTCCCCTTTGCTGTGAGCATTAAATAGAAATACTGTTTGCTCTAATTCTTCAGAACTGGAGGCATATGCAGGTGTCATCAGTGCCTTACGTGCACAGGGAGACCTTACGAAAGAGAAGAAGGATCTTCTTGGAGAACTCTCTAAAGTGCTTAGGTAACCCTGACATTTTTAAAATAAGAACCAATGACCTGTTCTCTTTCAAAGTATTGTGTAATTTTTCTATCAGTAGTATCACAAATCAAATTTTAATTCAGAGAAGTGATCCTTCATCTTGCGGAGTTTTAATTCCTATTCTGCTTGGAGTTTTTAGTAAAGGAAAACAACTGGGCTTCTGTGGTTGAAGCTTTACTGTTTTGTTGGTGTTTTGTGAGGTGCTGAGTGTTAAAAGGATTACAGCTACCTCATTAGTGTGTGCTAGCTTGGAGTTTCGTCAGGGTGGGACTTCAAGGGGTTTGGGACCAAGTTACATCAAGAAAGAGCGCTGCATGCTCTGTGCAATTTTTTCTACCATATGCTTTAAATTTATTACTCTCATTAGGAGGTTGGATTCTAGCTGTTTTGCAGGGGTACCCTGTGAACAGTAGTGTTCTTTTTACTCTTCAGTAATATTTTGAGCAATAATACATTCATTCTTTTCTCACTGTGATAGCAAAAGTTAAGTGACAGTCTCTTAAATGTAAAATGCCTGTTCCCTTTCGTCTCTTGAGTAGATTATTCATGTTTAATTTTAGCTAGAAGATTTAGATAAATGTTCATGTCTCCCTCTGACTAAAATATATTGCTGGTTTTTTTAATAGTATTTCAACGGAGCGACATCGTGCTGAAGTTCGAAGAGCAGTAAATGATGAACGACTAACGACTATTGCACACAAGTAAGTTACAGGTCATTTTCTACATGATTTCCAAAGGTACCTTTTGGAAAATCCATTATGCCTCAACTGATAGAACTTTGAAGATTGATGGTGGTTTAAAGAACAGTAGTTAAAACGCTGTATGGATGAAGAAATTATCAGGTTTACATCAGGAAGCTAGAAGCAGTTAGTTTGTACTGTTGCGTTTTGGATCTGAAGGTGTCCCAGTACAACAGAAGAAACAGTCCTTTGTCATAAAGAGCTTTCTGTAAGGTAGACCAAAAGAAACAGAGAGTGGAGAAAATAGAGAAATCCATGAGCAGGATGAACATGTTTGCTTTATTATTTTCTGTTTTACTTTTGATTTTATTTAAATCCGTTTGAAAAGGTTATATTAAGAGGGACTTAACTACACAGAAAGACAAAGGGAGGGAAAGAGGTGGCAGAGATTAGTGGAAAACAGTGTATCAGCACAGAGGGGAAAAAATGGTCAGAGTAAAAAAGCTGCAGCAAGCTGACTGATGACATCAGTGTCCACTGTTCTCTGCTTGATGCGGCTGCTGTGCTGGCATCAACTGGACTGGTTCCTCCTTGCGGTTGCTTTTGCAAGCTCCACATGATTTTGAGAGGTGGAGAGGAGCAAGAGGGCAAGTGCTTATGTATCTTTGATAGTTACTTAACAGTCTTACTATTAAGAACTCTCTTTAAACAGAGCTGGCTTTAAGTGTCTGTATTTTTTTCTTTTACTGTGTTACAACCACTGATTTTTAAGTTTGACTACTTGGCTTAGGTGTTATGGAGAGGAAAAAAGGTAATCATACAGATAGCAGGCCACTTGGAGTGAGCAGTTCTCTGATCCAAGACTTGACAAAATTAGCATGCTGTTTTAGTGCTGCAGAAGGACATTTAATGTTTTAGTGTTTTAATGTTCAACTTTAAAGAGTTAGAAATAAGCTATTTATTAAACAAAAACCACCAACTTTCTTACGTTTCTTTAAAGAAAGGGGAAATAATAATGAAAAGCAAGCATTTAATTGTCAAATCAGGATTCTTTTCTTGAATCGAGTCTCCTTTTTAAGTAGTAGTTCTGTTTTTTAGCATTTTACAGAACAAGCATAAAGTTTGTCCTGAGGTGTTGAACTTCAGATGGATGAGATATTAAATCCAGACAAGGTGCAATTGTGAAGTGCTGCATCTCTTTATTTTTCCTGTGGTAATTCTTTGTAAGTGATGGTAATACAGTTTTGACTTAAATAATTCTCTAACTCATTAGGAAAGCCAACTTTACTAGCTTTGCTATATGCAACATTTGTAGTCTTATTTTTGATTTTAAAAATGTATTTTTACCTCAGCTGATGTAGCTCGGCTTGTACTATATGAATATGTATGAAGAATGCTGAAGCGTGTCAGGATTTAACAACAGAGCAGATCCTCTGCATTTTACAAACTAATTTGTGGTAGCTTTTGCTGCAACTTGCTTGCAATAGTTCATATGAGAAGTTGTTTTTCAGAATATATTAATACATTAAATGGGTTGATTTGCTTAAGAGCATAACAGCATTGAAAAATAATTTGCCATTTGGGTTTTGCTGATTTGACAAATGATTCATGTAAAACAGTCATAAACAGAAGCACTTCTCCATCTAGATAAGAACAGCATTTTTTGCAAGCTTTATAGTTTTTGTGTAAGTCCTTAAGAGAAAACTAGAGCAAGCAGGCTGGTTTCTGTTAAGGAAAGATGCTCAGGGTATATTTAAATCATTTCATGATCTGATACCTTGTTTGGGACTGCTTTAATAAGTCTGAGAAACTCTTCTGTTCAAATAAAACAAGATTTTTGTTAGAAGCTGAGGGTTTTTCCCTGTAACATAATCCATTTCAGTAGTCTTTTATGAAATCTATTGTATGTCTAGGTATTCTTGTCATCCAGAAGTAGAGTGTACCAACTCTCCCTGAATAGTAGCTAAACTAATATGAGGGTTTTGAGTGTGACATCCACACACATCAAGCCCTTTAAGGTCTCTGCAAAACAAAACAGTAAAAGAAGCAGCAATTCTTAAATTTTCTGTGGGAGGATTTCTATGTCGGGTGGGAAAAACGTAAGGGCTTTCATAAAATGAAGGAAGTTAAAGATTATTGCTCTAGTATGTCTTTAGAAACTGCCTTTTAAACTTTCACTGTTGGAAAAAAAGGCACTTGAAGTGTACTGAGTATTTTGGAAACTCGTCAGAATACTCATAGAATGTGCGTTTCTGTTTAGTATGTCTGGACCAAATAGCTCTTCCGAATGGTCTATAGAAGGTCGTCGACTGGTGCCGCTGATGCCACGGCTTGTTCCACAAACAGCTTTTACTGTTACCGCTAATGCCGTTGCCAATGCAGCTGTTCAGCACAACGCATCTCTTCCAGTTCCTGCAGAAACTGGAAACAAAGAAGGTGAGAGAAAGCTTGAATTCTACTGCAATCTGTAGGAATATAAAAATAATGTCGCAATATAAACGGTTATCTTCGGGTTTAAGTGTTAGATATTTTTAAAAAGTTGTGAATCTTTCTTATTGAACAATATATATAGAAATATTTTTAAAAATTTTTTAAAAGGTGCCTTTGTAGCATCTGCAGCACAGATCTGACAGCTTTATGTTAGCACACTAGCAACTGAAATAAAAAGAAAAAACCCGACAAATTGCCAGGAAATGAGGGGGATATTCACTGGTTAACTTGTTAAACTCTCTAAACTATAAAAACTTGTACCAATGGCTTAAGATTTTGTAAAGTTCTGTGGGTGATGAAAGATATTTCACAACATCTTAAAATAAGAATGTAAGTAGGTTTTGGTGAAAGTAAAGAAAATTTTGTTGGTTTTCTTTCTCTTTTTTTTTTTTTTACTTCAGCATAAAAATACAAGTTAACAATTTAAAAGATTGCGTTCTGCTTTCTCTATGCCTTTTAAATAATGCTAGTGTGCATTCCATCTAGCTTGGCTGAATAGGCTAGAATTACGCTTCATATAACTGGAGAATGTGTAACACTTCTTGAAACAGGCTGTTTTATTCCAGTTTTGTGAGAAATACTGGATCATTGTGCTACTACTTACAGGCAACAGTTCAAAAAAGCTGATTAGCAAAATCAATTATTCATTACTGAAGGTATATTTTGGTTTCTTCAACTCACTGTTGAGGAGAGGCACTAGCTATTTTCTGGCCATTACCAGTCTAGATATGGTCATTTACAGAAAAGCAAAAAGGTCAAAATACCGAATTAATGCTAAAGTTAAAAATAACACATTGTAAAGTAAACCATTAGATTAATACGAATAAAAAAATCTAGATTCAGCAGCACAGATTTCTGGGGATGGGAGGAGGGGAGGTTAGACTTCTGTGTTGTCTTTGAAGGCCATTAATTCCATGGCCACGCTTAGGACAAGCTGGGGAGTATTCAACAGTGACAGGATTGCAGAGGCAAAGATGTGGATAATGACCCAGTAAGTCTTTGGCTTCCAATCCAGTTGTTAAAATAGTGATAGAATAATGGGATTCTGCACTTCAGTTATATGGAAGGTGTCTTTTCTCCTCTTCAGTGGTGGTTTGCTATTCCTACACAAGTACCACTTCAACCCCAACATCTGCCCCTGTTCCAAGTGGCAGTGTAGCGACAGTGAAGTCCCCCAGACCTGCCAGCCCAGCCTCCAATGTAGTCGTCTTGCCAAGTGGAAGTACTGTTTACGTCAAAAGTAAGTGATACTAGCAACTGATTAACAAAAGGGAAAGAAAGGGACAGTCTTGTGGCTGAAGCATGGCCCGAGTTAAACACTCTGACCTTGGGCAAGTCATTTAATGCCTTATGCCTTCGTTTAGTCTAAAGAATGAATTTATTGCTTCCCTTTTTCAGAGAAATTGTGTTCAAGATAAATCCGCTCACTGTAAAAATGCTGCAGGGAGCAGTACTGGCAAGGACAAGAGTGAAAAGTATTTTGAAAATATAGGGACTGCTGTATATCAGTGGGTTTCTAATAGAGCTTGTTCAGAACTTGTCTTTAAGGTGGCTCTCCTGGTTGCTTCTGCAGAGGACTTCCCTCTTCCTTCTGCTTAAATAATGAATAATAGTCACTTATTTGAGTTAGGAAAGGTGTCTCATTTCCACTTTCACAGTTGACCTAGACTTCTTAAAAATACAGTACTTTGGCAAGCATTTATTATGCTTACATTAACTATGTCTGGCCGTTTTGTGATTTATTTGGAAGCGAAGCTTAGAGAGGCTTGCATTCCCAGGCAACTGTGAAAACTCCAGAGGAAATCCCACCAGATACCGATCTTCATGTATTTAAATTTGGAAATCCCAGGGCATAACATCTAGAAACAGTCTTTTTCTCTTGTTCCCACTCACCTCCCCCTCCCACCCTGCTTCTTTCTTTGGCTAATAAATCAGCTAGTTCTAAAAGCAGAATACGTCCTCATACATATGCCCAGCTCACCAAAGGTAGTTTTAATAATTGTTTCCTTATGTCCTTATTTGGTGTTTATCAAAATGCAGGTGACAAAGATTAATAGTGAAGTTTGATAAGTGCTATTTTTATGCTTGGTGTGGATAGTTATAATATTAAAAAAAAAATTTTAGTCTTCATGCTCTGTATGCATGTTTGTATACACGTCTAGCTAGTCAGAAATGTGACGTTGTACATAAATACAACATTATCTGCAAACCACCATCTTTAATGGCTATAGCAGCCCACAGAACCCGTTACATTAAGATTTTTCATTTTTCTGATTTAATGCACTAATCACTCAGCTTTAGTTTAAAGATTCAGGGGAAAATGTTCTTAACCTCTTAAAAATTTAATTTAGACCTCTATTGAATTATTACATGGTAATGAGTATAAAACCAGTCTAGACACATGATAGAGGGATGAAAGATTCTCATTTTTATTCTGTCCATCCCTAGATTTCATTTTTTCCTCACTTCGTGTGCGTTTTGCTCTTTTTTTTTTAAGGAATCATGTGTCTCTCAGAATACATCAGTCACGTTAGTTTTAACAACCCTACTTAAGAGCAAACTCAGGAGGCCTGAGTTACAGTCGTGACTTTGCCACTGATTTGCTGTGTGACCTCATCCAAGTCACAGTCTGATTGAGCCATTAACCTCTCCGTGCCTCTGCTTCCTTGCTTGTCAAGTGTGAGTTATAGTTGAGCTGTATTACCTTTTAGCTAAATGCTTGGGAAAAACTTTGTACAAATGCAATTTTTAACATGAAATTATGGGAATAACTTTCTTGCAGAACACCAGCAGTGAAAACAGGCGATGAGTTGAGCTGTATTTAACATAAAATAATGTTCTGCTACTTTAATTGTACTTTCTTACTTCTGTGTTGGTTCTTTTGTGTTGTTTTTCCTCTCTCTCTCTTTTTTTTTTTTTTTTTTTTTTTTCTTCAGTATTTCTTGGTGACCCACCAAAGTAGAAGCTGTGTCCAGATATCCTAGCTGCATGCGAATTTTTGATTCAGATGGATTTTGAGACTCTGAAATTCCTGCACATTTTCAGTGTGATTAGTGACCTCACAGTTACAAGTTTGCATAGTGCACTCGCTGCAATACTTAAAAGCCTCTTCATAATAGACCTTAAAAGTCACGTAACCAAATCTCTGCTTTATAGATGGAGATCACTGCTCGGCTTGTTCAGGGCCATAAAGTAAATCGTTGATTAGAGCTTTGAAATCCGGACTTACAGATCTGTACTGCTACAGGCAGCTAAAACTATTTTCTGGAGTTCAAAGCAAACTTAAAATAGAGCCTTTGCTTCTCTTCTCTAGTTCAGTTCCCCATCTTTGTGTGGATACAACTGTCAGCCTTCTGAAGTGTCCCTGCAAATGAGCTGGTACTCCTACTACGAGAGAATCCCATTTTTCAGAAATCACTTGCTGTGCTGCTGGGCGCTTTCTTGTCCGTGTTAATTCCTGCGTCTTCACTTTCTGAATGCCAAAATATTTAGTTATTTTAATTAGAGATTGACCGTAATTAGATCTTGACCCTAATTAGAGATTGACTGCCAACGAAGTTTGCTTGGGTCACCAGCAAGACTGCTTGTGTTGTGACAGCATTTTTTGTCTTTAAGCCCCAGGCATACAGAACAAGATCTTCAGTCTTGTTCTGTGTAGAAGTGTTGCATCTTTTTGGCTTATCTCTTTTTTTTTTTTTTTTTTTTTTTTAATTCTAGCTAATTTGGTAAACATAAATGCGACCCAATAGCTGTAAGAGATTTTCAAGATTATTAAACTTTATCTTTCTTTAATGTACACCAGTTTATAAACCTGTTGCCCGCTTTGGCAAGTTTCATATGGATTTAAGATCTTTTGATCTTGCTGTTATCCTTTGCTCAGCTAAATATTGCAGCAGATTTTTTTTTATATGTGTGCAGTAAATGGTTGTGAGGAAGAATGAACTCCTTTGAGGCTGGATTTCTTTTTTTTTTTTTTTTAAATGATTGTGTGGTTTGTATCTGTTGCACAAAACACACCAAACAACACAGAAGCTGATAAAGTGAGGTTTGACCTCCATAGTTAAAGTATGTCATAAAAAAAATGGATTTCAAGCTGCTGTCTTGAGGTGAAAGGGAGAAGATTACTGTAATGATGAGCATAGCATGAAAGTAGGTACAAAGGTTGAAATCAGAGAAGACTGCAGGAGGATAAACTTCAGTAGTCTAGTTGCTGTAAACAAAACCAGCAGCAACAACAGCAGCGTAGTGTAAAGTTTTAAACTGAACTGTGCATGACATTATCCCAACCCCCTTGTGTGTATAGTCTCATTAGTCAAACTTCTAGAGGCAGAATGAATTCCCTGTATTGCCTCTTTTAATCTCTTAAACTGAATGAAATAACCCAGCAGCTGAGTAGCTTGGGGTTTTTGGCGTTTTGCTTCTTTGCTTTATGGCACTGTAAGTATGGTCTGTATCAAAGACTAAGACCAGCTGTGGTGTGTTACAGGTTAGTTGTGACCATAAAATGTAATTTATCCTCTTGTTTGTTTCTATCTTACTTGAAAGTGGGTGTAAGACTCATCAAGTTTGTAATGTTTTAGAAAGCACCGAGAGCCACAGATGGGAAAAATATAATTTAGACAAAGTACTTCTTTTCCAGGTGTCAGCTGCTCAGATGATGATGAAAAGCCCCGCAAAAGACGGCGAACAAATTCTTCTAGTTCTTCCCCTGTTCTCCTGAAAGAAGTCCCGAAGGCAGTGACTCCTGTCACTAAAACTATCACAGTGCCTGTAAGTGGCAGCCCCAAGATGAGTAATATAATGCAGAGCATTGCCAACTCCTTACCACCACACATGTCGCCTGTGAAAATAACCTTCACTAAGCCCTCAACACAGACAACAAACACGACAACACAGAAGGTATGTGGGGGAAGCTGCCAAATGTTACTTTATTCTGGTTTTATCAATGAATAAGCTGTGCTATTTGACTCTTCCTTTCTGTGAACTGTCTAGCTGTTTTTTAAGGATTGCGCTTGGGATAAGGTAATCCCTCTTTAAAGCGAACAAAGAGAAAACCAAACTCTTGTATGAATTTAGTTCACCTGTGTGTGAAAGGACCTGGATTGACAGCCGTGGAGACTGAAGCCCTCTTTTTATCCACAGAACAGGTACAGCACAGGCAGCGGGAGTGCAAGCTTCCCCCAGACTGCCCCACCAATGTGCCTCAACCCTGACCTGAAGGGACCACTTCTAGGGATGAGAGGGGATTCAGTCTCCATGCTCATTCAATTCTTGGCCTCTCTGGTGAGACTGCCAACAAGGTTGCCAGTTAGTACCATTTGTGGTGTTGGGTTTTGTGATATGGACACTAGTCCACTGAGAACTGGATCACATAGGCCACTGAACAGCCTTCAGATGGTAACAACTATTGGTCAAAGGTAATCTTTCTTATTTCTATTTTCCTTATTTATAATTATTCTTTGCAGTAGTAGAATTCCAGGAGAGGTGGCATGGGCTTTCCTTTGCCAAGCCTTTTGTCTTAGAGACTAGTTTTTTGGGGTCTATAAAGCTTATTCTTGGAGCTGATCAAAGACTGGGGGGCTTTATTTTCCATTCAGTACCAGTGTGCCATTTCTCATTCTACATTAACAGTGTTGCAGTGGTCAAAATCAGTTACATTATTTCAGCTGAGTGTGCCCAGCTTTCACCAGAGTGCAGTGTGTGGAAAAGGTTTTCCGTGTTGAAGTTTTGTACTGGACTCAGATTTTTTTTTTTACGTACCTGATCTATGGCATGACTACTTTCCCATGCTTTAGGAAGCATTTCAGAGGTGTCTACTTTTTTGTTCTTAAGATATAAAAAAAGATTAATGGCTCAGACCAAGTTCATTCTTGGTCTGGTTATTAATTAAGGCAGACTTGGGGGGGGTGGTGGTCTGTGGAATTAATTTGGCCTTGATACCGACAGAGTGATGGTAGGCTGGCCACTAACAGGCATTTTTTTCCAACTGTGAGAGTGACTATTGAGCTCAAACCTTCACAAAGTATTTGTTCTATTAGTCTTCTTGATTGTTTTATGACTCTATTTGGATTAGCAGAGTTCCCATGTCCTGATTTTTGGAAACTTTAAAACCAAGGAAGATTAACTGAAGTAATGTGCAGTGAAGAACTTGCTTTCTGGCCTTTTCCCACTTCAGAGCTCTTTGATGCTTTCACTTGATTCACTGTTCTTTAACAGTGTCTTTAATCAAGTTTCATTTCTGAATACATGTATAGAAATCCGTGAGTGAGCATAAACCATCAAGTAAAATGTCCTGCATTCAATGCAGTGAATCCACAGCTAGGATAGAGCTTAACCTACCAATCCTGTTGCTCTTGTTAGGGCTCATCTTCTGTGCAGGAAGAATTTTTTTACCTTAAATGTCTGTAGTGCTGTAGTAAGTATGAGTTACACTTCATCTTTAACTACCACAATATGTATTAAATCTCCAAAAAGAAGAGAGTGGACTATGGATAGGGTCTTCTCTGCAGTTGTGCCTCTGCTTGTTCTGTCATGGCAATTTTGGGATGTGCTTTGCATAGTACTATTTGACTCTCTTACTAATCCACAACGATAGGAAAATCATCACTTGTTTCATTAGGGAGCCATAGTAGTGTTTGCATCTGAACTTGTCACACTGCCCTCTTTTGCTGGATTTAGATATGCCAAAATACATAGCTGGATCATTTTGGTGGGAGAAATCCCTTTTAGTAGTTTTAAATTAAATGTCAGACTTGTTAGACTCAAATTGGAAATGTACTATTTTAAACAAATGCTGTTGGATATGAGTGAAGCTGTTGGATATGAATGAAATTCTTCATTTCTGCATGCCAGCTTTCTGAATTGTTGTGACATTTTAGTAGGTTGGAGGAAGATTTGTCGTAACAACTAATAATGTCACAGCTCCCATTTCTGGATTCTCTTTCAATAAAGTCCTCTGTCTAGGACACAGAAGGAGTCTAGCTAGTGAAGCTTCTGGCAGTTAATGACTTTATTTCTTCAGAGACTAGATTGTGATGTCTTTCAAAATAGAGCTGACGGGACTAATTTCAGTGTATGTTAGGAATTAGTTTTTACTGTAACAATTAAAATCAGCAACAACAAAAAGCAACTTGACTTTTTTTTTTTTAATTTAAATCAGTCAGTCTTTCTGCTGTAAACCAAAACCGATGTAGTTTTGGTACTCATGATGAGGTTACTTTGATCATTTCCACATACGTGAGAAAATAGTATCTCAAAAATATAATTGTCGTGATTTGAGCCTTAATACTTCTAAATTTTACACAAAAAAAATCTGTTTTCTGGATATGCTTTGTACATGAAGATCCATAAACTTTGTTCTTCCATGTGAAATAGAGACCCAAACCTGCTTAGTCACAGGACAGCAATTATTGTTGAACCATAATGCTTTACGAGCTTTTTTTCCTTGTGTGATTAAATAAAGTGTTATTAAGTGATAATCTTGAACTGATGGTTTTATCCCTGTCTTTTGAATTAAGAACAGTGGTCTTCAGAAGTTGTGATTATGCCCAGATTCCTCCTACATATCTGTATGTGGAGACGCTGAACTTGGCCTGTTGCATTACAGATTATATAGGAAGTTTAATGTGAATAATCTCTTTTTTAGCTGCAAGTTGCCCTTTGACTGTATTCCTAAATTAGTTATCCTAGGTGGAATGGAGGTAGCCCTAAAACTCAAACCCTTGGGAAGTATTTCTAGTATTAACTGACTACTTAAGAAACAGGATAAAACTCCAGAGGCACATCATAGGATCTTTTCACCTGCAAGCCTCATACCAGAATCACACTGTGTTGTGTAGATCCTCTGCATGATTGTAGCCTGAGAGCAATTTCAGAAGGGTATTTTGATCAAATCAAGGTTAGACAGAAGGCAAAAATAAGAGTGACGCGGAGGAAATGTTCTTCCCGGAGAATGCGATGAAGTGGTAGGACAGCAGATCTGGAAACCTTGTCCTTCAGGCACTGGTCAGTTGTGGTCAACCTGCTGTAGCTCATGGAGGTGGTAAGGGTTTGGTTTTCCTCAGATCAGGTTATTAACAGCTTAGCTGAGTAGTGGGGATCATAAAACTAAGTAGTGGGGCAAAAGGAAAGGTAGAGGCAGCCATGGTGGTGAAGTCTGTTGCTTTTATTCCATCTATGTGGTGTTCTCTTTTTTTTTTTTTTTTAAAACAAATTGTAAGCTCTTAGTTTCTTACTGCTTGATCTGTCACTTAAGTCTGTTTCTAGTGCCATTATCATATTCTTTCTTTTCTATTAAGGTTTCAGTAGTCCTTGGGTAGTGTAAGACTTTTGGTTTGAGCTGACCCAGGTTTTCTTTGCTCCTCTGTACCTTTTTTTCTATTTGCTTTTGTTACATCAAATCATTAATAAGTTTTAATTTTCAAGGTTTTAATAAACGAAATTTTTATTGGGACAATTGCATTATATTAAAACAATTTCTTAATAATCTTGCATGGTAATCTGTAAAGATGTATTTCTGTGCTGTGTGTTTCTATTTTAACTATGTGTTTGTAAGTATAAGGAGGTACTTTATGTAAACAGTCTCCATATTCAGTACTTAAGAAATGCGTAGTTTTCTAGGTCAGTTGCATAAGAACAGGCCTCCTCCAATGTTATAACGAATTCTGTGTTTTTCTATGTCAGATCAGATTCATGGTGTTGTAATTGTAACTCGCACTAGGGGTAATGTTTATTCTCTTTAGACAAATGGTTTTCAGACAGATAAGAAAGAATTTGTTGTTATTGAAAGCACTAATTAAAGCAGAAATTGTTTCAAACCTAAATCATTTTTTTTCACTGATGAAATATTGATTGTTTACAGCATTGCGGATCAAAAAATTTTTCCTGTTACTGACTCGGCAACTGTTAATTATTAAAGAGAAAAAAAAAATCATTATTCTCTCATGGCCATTTCTTGATGTATGTGCAAGGTTTGGGAGAATGGTGTTTAAAACTTGCTGCAAATCCCTTTGGTTCCATTAAAAATGGGCTTCAGTTTTCCTGGCTCAGTTTAATGAAGCCAAGCAGTTCATTGCTGTCTGTTTGCCTTCAGATGTGAGATAATTCTACTTTAATTAGATAGCAGTTGTTTTCCCTCGAAAAAAAACCTTTTAATTTTAAGGAAATGTTTATCACCACTTCTTCAAACTAATTGAGATTTTTTTGTTGCCAGCAAATGCGATTATGACACTCTTAAATGGTCTTAATAAACATGTGTCCCTAAAACTTTATGAATATACAGACAGATATATTACTGAAATGTTATGCTTTTAAATAAATGCAAAGAACAAATGAATTTCTTGTTGTTCTTTTTTCTTCTTTCAGGTGATAATAGTAACCACCTCTCCAAGCTCAACTTTTGTACCCAACATCCTTTCAAAGTCCCACAACTATGCAGCAGTTACGAAACTTGTCCCAACATCAGTCATTGCCTCAACTACTCAAAAGCAACCGGTGGTTATAACTGCTTCTCAGTCCTCTTTGGTCAGTAGCAGCAGCAGCAGCAGTAGCTGTTCCACTCCCTCCTGTACTGCAAATACTATTGCTGTGACTGCTGTGGTATCATCAACACCATCAGTGGTTATGTCAACAGTAGCACAAGGTACGGAAATAACATTATATTTATAAAACCTCTTTTTCTGATGAGTTGACCTGTGTTTTGAGAATAACGTAGGAGAAAATGCACTTTATGTTTACACGTGATGAGTAAAGCACAGGAGGTGTGAAAGAAGTCTACTGATGAAACTGATGCAAGAGACTCCACAAAAGTTCTCACTGAACTCTTTCCCTCTTTACTTCAACAGTTAATGTGCAGATCCTCTTTTCAAAGAGAGTGTGGTGAGATGGTGTGGCATAGCTTTTTATTTTGAAAAGATTTTACTTGCAGCATTAAAACACTATAGCCTCAAAATCACTGGCTTTAAGAACTCTGGTGCATGGAATATTGATGTTTCCAATATTTTAAGATGATTGCATGTTTTGTAAATGAGGCTTTAAGAGATGCAAAGTTGACATCAAATAAATACAATTTATGCTTGGCATGCCTAGTCTTTAGAACATTTCATGTGATAACTAAACTTGATGACAGTTCTGAAAGGTAGAGAAGTGTTTACACTTCTTTTATCTGTGTATTTTATCAGCACGTCAGTTTTCAGATCCTTAAAATTAAGACCTGAGTGGGCCTGGATTACAATTCCTAGATTTCTGGTTTCTAATTCCAGCTATGTATGCCAGCTTGACTGTTTCAGCTCCACAGCCACTAGCGAACATTTGTAAGGGAAGATGAATGAAAGGGCTTCAGTGAGCAGTACTTGAAAAATACTGTACCCAGCAATGACAAGTGCCACATGGCAGTTTTTCCTGGTCCATATTTGTTTCACTTGTTCCATTCCACAAAAAGTTGGGCAACAAAATCAAGGCTGAGGAGGTGCTTTGCTGTCCATATTGCTTCTGTTAATCAGTTCTTGTGCTCTGTAGATTAGTATGTTCAAGGTCTTAAAGCAGTATTTAATTTTGTTGGAACTGTGGATTTTTAGTTGGGTTTGATCATGGAAGAGGCTATAATTCTAAAATATATTAGGTGGAATCTCTCTCCAACAGTGTTTTTTCCAGGACTGTTGGTGTCATTGCAGAAGATGCTGGTGAAACATTTTGTGACGTAACTGATGATCACTCCAAAGAAAGTTAAACGTGTGAATGAAAACAGCTGACCAAGGAAAGGGAGAAATAAATCTTAGATGATGCAGTGAGAAAAGGGTTGCTTATTTAGATGGCCAGAATTGTAGTTTATTATGATTTCTATCATTATCACTGCCATCTGTAGAGAAGTAAGAGAGGAGATTTTCTTTCTGTTTTCCGCTACAACTGGGACTTGGTTAAAAACTGCCTTCCCAAGACATGGACATTATGTTTGTCTCTTTTGGTGCTTATGGATGTGCAGTTTAGAATTTTAGATGAAGCCAAATTTTGCTTAGAATGTTGTGACAGCTATGTAAGGGAGCGACAAAAATAAGTATTCAGATTTATCTGGGAACTTAGCCTTTCCATCTTACTACAAACTTGTTTTAATCACTTTATTACTTGTAAGATCACCTAACCTATCAGCACAAGAAGTGTGCCTTCTACACTTTCCTAATTACATACTATTACTTGATTCATTCTTTTAAAATAACATTGTGCTCACTAACAGATACTCCCTTCTAATGTTGATGAGTGTGATATTTGTCATCCTCGTATCCCTGACTTTTTGTAGTAATGATTTTCACCATAAATATTTTGCTTACTTGAAGCTTAAAGATAAGGCTTTGAAAATATTTGTGAATTATTTGTGCTACAAAAGGTGCAGGAAGTAGACTGGGATTGTGGCCTTTCCATTAGCTGCTGTTCTGCTGCCACATTGAAAGTCAATATAAAGCTCCCTTGCTTCTGAATAGAGCACTTCTGCTATGTGAGAGCTTTGTTTCTTCATGTATATCTGTGCATTTTTCAGTAGTAAAGGCAGTTTAAATGCAAAAGTGTTTAAGAAACTGTAGTATTTTTCTTTCACGTTGCACTGTTCAGTCTTAAACCATTTACTCTTTCACAGGTGTGTCTACATCAGCAATTAAAGTTGCCTCTACCAGACTACCTTCCCCAAAAGGTTTGGTTGGGAATCCAACTCAGATCTTAGCACAGTTTCCCAAACAGCATCAGCAGTCCCCCAAACAGCAGCTGCACCAAATACAACAGGCCCAACAACAACAGCAACAACAGCAGCAGCAGCAGCAACAACAGCAACAACAACAACAGCAGCAGCAGCAGCAACAGCAGCTGGTGCAGTCTTCTGTAGCTCAACAGCAGCCACAGCAATCTCAGTTGCCACCTGGCATCAAGCCCACCATTCAGATCAAACAGGAATCAGGTAGTTGGGAGTTAATCTTGGGTCATATTGTGAGGTCTAACCACAACTGCAGAAAATTAGGGCAGAATTCTGTCCCAAACTGTGCATGGGGAGATACCGTTAAGGCATGATTACTCGAGTACAGGATTTGGCATTAAGCCTGGATATCAGTAGATAGTAAAGGCTGTCTTAATGTTTTCAGCTAACAATAATTGAAGAATTTGGTTCTGTCACTCTTCTTGTTTGGTTCAGGTATACAGACCATGCTTTAGGAATAAATGTTTTATCTTTAGAGATTGAAAGGTATGTAAATATCTTCAAAAGTGATTGGCAACCTGGAAGACACCAGTTTTCTGAAGATCCAAGAGCTGTTCAACTGTATCAACTGGAAAAAGAAGTTAATCCATGTTTTAATTATTTTCTTGGGTCCAGAAATCAAAACCTACTTTTGAGGTACTTGTCAAAACAAATACAATTAGATCTGAGACTGGAAGTTGGACTGGATTTTTTTTGTAATATTGATTCATTCAGTTGACTTTGGGCAAGTCATGTAATCTTTCTATGTTGGCTGTAGAATAGTTCTTATCTCCGTAAGATGTAGTGAGAAGTAAGGCTTGCAAAGTTATCTGATTACGAAGGAGAAAGTGCTATTAAAGTGCAAAGTATTTTTATGTCCATATTTTATATTCATCATGTCAGTAAAAATACTATTTTCTATTTATACTATTTAGCTCAAAGTAAAATAGAACATAGAATGAAAAAGTAAACAGCCCTACTCCTGTCCTTTGATAAACTTCCTTTTGGATTATAGGATCATTGTCCAAGAAAAAATATCCACTAATGAAGACAGATAAGAGGCCTCTGTCCTCCAGTCACTGAACAATATTTGACCAATAAGAGCTCATTCCTTGCCTTCTACCATGGGTTTAGGTTCAGTGTTCTTTTTAGTTGAAGTGTCTATGGAAATACTGTCTGATACCTAATCTTTCTGGAAGATGTGAATCAGTTTTCACAGAAGCATTGCTTTTTATACGGTTTTGTGTCTGGATGATACAAAGGCTTCAATTTTTCTTTCCTAACTTCATTATTTAAGTACGGAGCTTACTTACTCCATACTGCTTTTATAGTGAATGTGGAAAGAAGAAAACATCTCCGGAGGATGTTTCACATCCCAAGTGGACAAAATTGTTCACCTAAAAATAATTTGTGTACAAATGTAGAAGTGCTTACGTTTAGATGGGATTAATTCAGTCTGGGTGTTTCATGGCATTTGACCAAGACAATGCAATACATTTACCTCTCCATGGAACAGACCTTAAGATGCAGGTGTCCTGGATATACTTTTGAACAGATGATATGAATCTCCTGGTTTGCAGGTGAGGAGTGAATCTTGCAGAGGTCCCATTCCCCTACACAAATCGAGAGAGAGGGAGCAGAGTCCTTGCTGTACTAAGGTGTCCTCACCCTTTTGTTCTTGCTGGTTCTGCTCAGAACTTGTTTCAGCCCAATTCCTTTGTGACTTCAAGATAACCAATAAATCAAAAGGAGAGAGAGCAGTTTACTTAAAGCAGCCTTCCCTAGTCAATGTCACAGTTGCTTCCTTACACTCACTAATAATTTGTGGAGAAAGCTTTTTTTAATTTATTCGGAGGGATGAAATTCAACTAGGCTAATTAAGACACATTAGAATCTACAGACTAAATTGATGAAGAACTACTTTACTTTTTGATGGTTCGTTCTATGAGCCAATTCAGTATTGGTTGTAACCTGTTGGTTCCTGGGAAATGTTCTATTTTTTGAATCTTGGACCAGAAAAGGTTAAAAATCACTACAACAAATTAGTGATGGAATGGAATCCCATGCCTCAGTGGGAGTGTCTAGGAATTGAAACAGGCACATGAAAGGCAAAGATGATGACTGTCTTGTTATTTGCAAAACAAACAAACAAACAAAAAAGAAAAACCCAACCTAAACAAACAAAAAAATTATTTTCAGGATCAAGAATATATGGACTCAGAATAGAAGCCTTGTGAGGCTACTTGCCCACTAGGGCTTGGTCTGAGAAAGCGTTTCAGAAAGTAACTTTTCGTGCCTGTATTTTAACAGTGACCTTTCTCCTTTCCTAGGTGTTAAAATAATCACTCAACAGGTGCAGCCCAGTAAAATCCTTCCCAAACCAGTTACAGCGACCTTGCCCAGCAGTAGCAATTCACCCATTATGGTGGTTAGCAGTAATGGGACTATCATGACAACTAAACTGGTCACTACTCCCACTGGTAAGTTATGGCTCTGAGAAGGGAAGGGAGGGTAAACCCAGACATACAGGTGATGAAACATGGTTTATTAAGGTGAAAAAAAAACAAAACAAAACACTTCTCTCTTGTGAACAGTGAGCACAACAGCACATTCACAATCCTGTTGATAATTATTTTAGATTAGGATTTTTGCATTGAGTGCTTTTTTATTCCTCTTACAATCTCTTTGAATTGGTAAACAAAAATATGAGCGTTCCTTCCCCAGTGGGTTTTTTCTAAAGGAAATTTTCTTGTAACCTGTACAGATACTTTGCACTTCTGTAGCACCTTGTATTAGACAGTTTACATTAATTTAACTTTTTAGGTACCTCAAGCAGGTATGTCAGCATCATTCCTATTTTACATATACAGACTTTAAAGGACAGGTGACTTGCTCATAGTCCTGCAACTAATTTATAAAAAGGCCAGTAAATTGAACTCTAAACTCCCAGTGTTTTTCTGGGGATCTAATTGTATTTGTGTTTTCTTATTGATTAAAGATCAGAAATAATGCAGACCGTTCAGATTGTAAACTTGTATGAGGAAAACTTGAAAGGCAGATTTATCCTAGTTTTCAGAAAACTCTTTAACTTGCTTCCTGAATTTTTAGCATGGGTTGGGAATGATAGCATAAACTAATGGTTAATATTTTTTTTTTTTTAACTTTTGAAGTACTTAATGTTTTTTAAGTACATTAAAATCTAGCAGTTTTGCAGTTCATATAATTGGTAAAACCTATATTGTGCTCTCTTGGATTTGAACACATAGCCTTCATGTTATAACAAACCGGTTTGCTCTGATCTTTGGCAGTTAAGGTCTGTAGTGCACTAGCTGCGGCAGTACAAGCATAGTGGAATTACAGTGTTCGTGTAGCTGTTGACTTGTATTATTATTTTGAGCCATTTTTTTTTGTGGACTCAGTTCTGTTTCCATTCTGAGGAGCAGGTCAGCAGAATCAGCAGCATTTATACCACGTCAGGAGGTTTCTTTTATACTGCTAAATGCTAAATCCTTAAACTTGCATTATCAGTATAAATTACATTTTTCTCTTAGAGTGATATTTAGACCAGTCGTTGGTGGTGTTCTTTATAAACAGTTTATCGTACAGGAGAAGGGACAGTGTAGGTGTCTTTAGAAGAGGATGAGATTAGTTCTGCTGGTGTCCAGATGCCACACTCGGGCATCTAAGGAGCCAAGTGGCAAACATACAGGCAAAATCTAAACACTGCTGAAAATTAAAATCTTAGGGACAAAGACGTGAAATAAAATATAGCAGTCACAAATAATTTGGTAAAATAGTTCAGAAGACCCTTATGGTAATTTAATGCTGGTATATACTTGAGTATTCCTCTGTGGGTTTGAAAAGTACTAGGAGAATAGTGAAGGGTGGTAATAAATTGCACTGTGGGGTCTCTTTAAAGAAAATCCAGTGCTTTTTTTTCTAAACTAACTTATTTTTCCACAAATACTAGTAGAGGATCACATTCTAACAGTGAGCTTTTCTTGTTCTCTCTTTAAAACAGGAACTCAAGCAACATATACGCGGCCAACGGTTAGCCCCTCTATAGGGGCTCGGATGGCTGGAACTCCAGGGGCTGCTACTTATGTGAAAACTACAAGTGGTAGCATCATTACTGTAGTACCAAAATCACTCGCCACGCTGGGAGGCAAGATTATCAGCAGTAATATTGTTTCTGGTAGGCATATGAGTACTTCAATATCGAGACTTATTTCAAAAGTAACTTTAGACTTGCTCTAATTGCTCAGGGCTTTTCTGTGGGTTATATGCTCAAATAATTATTAGGACCTTTATTGGAGAAGTTAATTCAGAAGAAAAATGGCTGAAGATGAAGTAGTAAGTAATGGGTAGAAGTTACAGAGGTAAAGTGTTCTTAAGGATTGCAGTAGTTCTTGTGTTTAAGAAGGAAACATCTAATGTGAGGGAGGAAAAGATGTGGGGAAGGAGAACTCCTATATCATCCTCTGTTAGAGGGCAGAAAGATCAGAAAACTGTCTTAGCCCCAGTTGAAAGCATTTTATAATCTGGATGCTGCCCCTTTCTATTCCATCACATGCCCAGAGAACCAGAATAAAGTGAACTGCATGTTAAATTCAGCTGTGATGTCTCCACCTTATCTTCTTTTGTCAGAGTCAGCCTGTCTTTCCCTTACGCTGTGTTCTAACCTAAGTTTTAACTCCCAGCATCATGCAAACCCTGCTGCTTACCCTTGTTAATCTGTTGACCAGCCTTGATGCCAGTATAGCCTGGTCTCTTTAGGATCAGAACCAAACATGGTCACACCAGTCACAATTTCTTGGTATCTGTTCTGGACTTCAACAGTGCTAATGCAGGGAAGGTCTGCTCATTTCCTAGCTAGGTGCACATGTACAGCGAGATCTGCTGGCTCTGTTTATCCTAGTCTATCTTTTAGATAGACTAAATATCCTTAGATATACCTAAATATCTTTAAATTACTCAGAGGTCCTGCTGTTGATGCTCAGCAAAGACCTGACATGGTCCCAGCCAGCTCCTGTCACTGGAAGGTGCTGCACAAGCAATCCAGTAAACCCCACCCTGGATTTGTAGTCTGGTAGAAGTACCTCAGGTTTTCAGATCCTGATTTCTACAAAGCAATATTTAGGGCTGATACAGTAGCTTCTTGGGGAACAAGTTTTTCAGCCTGTTGTGTGTATGATGAGTTGTGAAGAAGATGTCTAGATTTACTAGTGAGTTTATACACAAATGCAAGTGTTATTCTCCTGAGCACCAGCTGATGTGGGTAAACACTCGGCTGGTCCTGATAAGGATAATGATTGTCCTGAAACAAAAAAAGTTTGGAAAGGATGCCTACTTTTTTTTTTTTTTCTGTTTCATGGTGGGGTTCTTTGGGGTTGATTTTTTTGTGATCTTTTTGGTTTCTTCTTATTTTTGCTAAGGGAACAGTCTTTAGATACCTTTGAAGTTACTAAAATTAAGTAAATCATGATGTCATCTCAGCATGTCTTCCCTTTCCCAGAATTATTAGAATTATTAATCTGAAATATGTAGTGAAGTACCTACAGGCATGATTAATAGGTAGAAGGTAGTTGAGGGAAGTCCTTGGGTTTGCAGCTCTGCTGTGACTGAGTGGTACTGTTTTTCAAGGAGAAAGTGGGAGGTTTTGATAAAAGGTGGTCTGAGGAGATACTGAAATGTCAGTATAGTAACACTGATGACATACTGATGTATGTAGTCACATAGACTGTGGAGGGCTGAGCAGAATTACCTGTCACTGCAGGTAAACTAAAACCTGATACAGCGAATGGAACTAATTAAATATTGGGAGAGGAACAGAAATAGCCAACAC